TTGGCCAGAACTTGGTTACGTGGCCACACTTTGCTGCAGGGGAGGCTGAGAAATGAAGTCTCTCTATGTGGGCAGCCATATTTCTAGCTAAAACTCAGAAGCCTTTATTACTAAAGATATTAAAGACAACAATTTCTGCCATGGAGTTTTTGGTTTTATTTCCGTTTTTAAAAATAGTAGATTGATTGCTCCAGGAATCAAAGAACCTGAGTATTTGAGTAAGGCATCAGATATGTCAGATTGTTTATTACCTAGCTTGTTCTCTTACTATAGGTGATGCAGAAGGCCATATAGAGCCTTCACAGTAAGAATTTTACTACTTTAGGACTAATTATAAATGAAAAAACAGCAGATACCTATTGTGGCATATTATGTGTGATAAGTTGTCATGAGTTGTAGACACTTATAGGAAAGGGGAATGGAGGGGTGAAGTCATAAGGAAAAGCTTGAAGGAGAAGATAGGATTTTAGTTAGGCCTTAACGATGGGGTACGATTTGTATGGTTATAGGCAGAACATTCTAGGCAAGGTAAATTGTGTGCAGGAAAGTGCCAGGTTGGGATAATTGAATTGTATTCCAGGAAAAGCAAGGAGACTGTATTGGCTCCTAAGAGCATTTAAGTTGGAGTTGTGCAAAATTAAGTCAATTTAAAGAACGATCAAGATCAAGGTGGTCATGAAAGCAATATAGAAGAAAATAGAAAACTGTTAAAGTTTTGGAGTAGGAGACTGAAATGGTGCAAGAGTTTAATCTGGTAATGGAATTCAGAGTGGAAGAAATCCCAGCTTTTCACTCTGCCTAATCTCTGTGAGATTACCTATGACCTTTCCGTTACCTCAGTTACCACATCCAGATGTTCTTTCCTAGACCCATTCTTCTTGTCTTCTCTGAAACATTTGGCATTGTTAACCATCTTTTCTTCCTCTTCTAATTTTGTACTGCTTTTTATTTTCTCCCTAAGACCTAGTATTCTGGATTTTTTTGCTCTTTTTGTTCTTGGGGCTGCAGCTCTCTTCTTGCAGGGTGCTCATGTTTGTTTCTCCAGTTTGAACTTTAGTCTTACACTCTTAATTGCTTTCTGGATATTTTCATCTTGATGCTTCACTATCATTTAAAGCATTCAATAGATCTCCTGCAAAGTTCTGAATCCACAAGTACCTTTATGGTTTAAATCCGAGGTGTGAACTTGCAGACATTTTGGCCTCTATCTTCTCCTTTGAGTATATTTTCTGTCACTAAGTCCTGTCAGTTTTTCCTGGTGATTCTTGCATTTGTTGATTTCCATTCTTATTGCCAGCACAGTTATCTGTTCCCCAACAAAGTGGGTATATGAAAGCAGATCAGGAAGTTTGCTGAATGCTTGAGTTGAAGACTTTCTCAAGAAAACTCTAGAACCTTGAAATCATGTCAGGTCCACCGCCGGCCGACCCGAACAGCCCTTGCCTCACTACCAGTCTCTCCCTTGGTGTTCCTTCTGGTGGGCGAGCGAATTGCCCAGATTCCTCTTTCCCTCCGGTCCCCGTTGGGAGGAGATGGGGGAAGAGAGCCATGAAGAGAGGTGAGCACAGCCACCGGCCCCAACCAGCCCGTTAAAGGACACTCAGACATGGTGGGGGTTCTGTTGAGCAGTTCCGTTTATTATCACACAAGCACTTGCTTTTAAAGGCAAATGGGGAAGGGAGGTTTTTACATCCTCCAATCAGCTTAAAGGTTACAAGAGCATGCATCCTGTCTCAATGCCTAGCTATTGCAATCACACAGTGTTCACAAGCGCGGAAGCGCGTATTTGGCCAATAAGGGCTAAGGCAAGGTTCCCGCAGACACTCCCACCCTACTTCCTCCCAGCGCCATCTTAGGCTGCCACGTTCCTTGTGGGCCCATAGTGGCACGGCTTGTAATGTCACTTAAGGTGGCGTTAGTTTTTAAGGCCCGACACAATCAAAATGCGGTCTGTGGATGGCACCATGGGCATCACTGGGAATGTGTTAGGAATGCAAAATTTTGAGTGCCACTCCGGGGTGCGCCAGAAATGCCGGGGACCAGCCCCAGCACAGAGATTGTAAAGGTTCCCACTGGTAAGGGATCCCCCAAAAGGGAGGAAGGGCAGCGTCAGCGATGGATGGACAGCAAACATACAGACTCAAGGGATCTGCTGAATGCTGACAGTTTATTGAAGCATGTATACACTTTTTATACTTTTTCTTAAAGGCTACATAATCATTAAAATAATCAATGAACAATATCATAATATCTCTTTGTAAGTGACATATGTTCTAAGAAAAATAGCATTACAGTTTATTCCCAGAAAAAACAATTACAATGTCTTTTTCTTTAAACAAGAACGTTACAACCCACTGGTCCCATATAATCATCACTTACATTCATTACTGGAATTTTACCAACACTGCATTAAACTTTCTATGACCTATCCAAACTACGTCTAACTATTCTTTATACCAAACAAACACCCTAAAATTAACTTGCTTACAACTTAACTTCTACTTCTATTGAAAAGTAAAAGATTGTAACTCCTTCCAAGCACCCAGGCCAAACTCTCAGGCACCAGGAAAAGTAAAAGATTGTAACTCCTTCCAAGCACCCAGGCCAAACTCTCAGGCACCAGGAAAAGTAAAAGATTGTAACTCCTTCCAAGCACCCAGGCCAAACTCTCAGGCACCAGGAAAAGTAAAAGATTGTAACTCCTTCCAAGCACCCAGGCCAAACTCTCAGGCACCAGGAAAAGTAAAAGATTGTAACTCCTTCCAAGCACCCAGGCCAAACTCTCAGGCACCAGGAAAAGTAAAAGATTGTAACTCCTTCCAAGCACCCAGGCCAAACTCTCAGGCACCAGGAAAAGTAAAAGATTGTAACTCCTTCCAAGCACCCAGGCCAAACTCTCAGGCACCAGGAAAAGTAAAAGATTGTAACTCCTTCCAAGCACCCAGGCCAAACTCTCAGGCACCAGTTACTATAATTTTGAATCCCACTTCCAAGTCTCCCAGAGCGATAATTATGAGGCAACAAAAAATAAAATGTAATTAGGCATAACAAGCACACAGAGGTCCAGAAAATCAGGGTGGAACGCCAGCATCTTCTCCCACGATGAGGCCTTGCCATCATCCCTTCACGATGAGGCCCTGCAAACACCGTGTTTCATTCTTATGAGTGGGAGGCGCCCCCGCACCGGGGGCTACAGAATTAGTGTGCATTTTCATAATATCCCAAGATGATGTGCATGCACGTTAGAGTTTGAGTGACACTGATACAGAATTCACTTGCATTTCTTTAACTCTTTTTTTGTTTGAGACTTAACTGCTAAAATAGTTAAACTCTCCAGCTATTTATCTATTTGTAACTATTTACCTTAGATTTCAGTGTAATCTTCACAGCAGATTGTTGTGTTAAAAATTGTTATTTTTTAGACAGAGTGGAGAGTCAATAGGGGAAGCAACTCAATCTAGTACAGACATAGATGTCTCAGATGTATGTTTGTCAGTTTATAGATGTCATTCCTTAAATGTAAAAACAATATTTTGTGATAAATTGTATATACATAATTTACCTCCTGTGTAATTAAGGAATTTTGGGTGGCATGTGTTTAGTTTTACTATATTGTAATTACTTGTCTCAATGATGTTTTGTAGAGAATCTCTCACCTTTAGATAAAAAGTATGTACTTAAAACAGAAGCCTGCATTTTTAAAAAAGCTTGATTTTTATTGGTGTCTCTTACTATATTTTTCATAGTCAAGTAATTTATAGAAGTCTGGTAGGTATAAGCTTCTGAATATTTGATATAACTTCCAGATATTACTTTTATTTTTCCATTTTTACTTTGCTAAACAAGCAATACGTGAAAATAATCATAAGAAAATTGAAAATTATCATGAAAGAACTTATTCAAAGGTATGAAGAATAATACATAATATAGCTAAGGCTTGTATTCTTGTATACATATGTGAGTTTCTCAGCAGTGTTTTCCAGAATGTTTTTGACCATGACTCAAAGAACCAACATTTTATAGCACATCTCAGTTCATATATGCATATTATGTGTTACCAAAATAAAAGTTTATATTCTTACCACCTGGCTAAGGAAATTCAGTATAACCAATGCTGTCCAAGCCCACAGTGGATTTTCCCCTGATCACATCCTCTTTTCTGCACCACCAGTTGCATGCTTCAGTTTCATGACATTTGTGGGTACTTTTAATTAATATGCAGTATGTTATTATATTACATGTTTTTCATCTTATGTAAATGGTTTCATATTGTATATATTTGTCTGTAACCTTTCTTAAACTCTGTTATATTTGAAATTTACCCATGTTGATTTTTGAGGCAGTTCTTGTTGTTTCTCATTGTTGCCAACACTTAGTACTAAAAGATTTCTAAAAAATTTTCTAATATGTTGGATGCAAAATGGAGGTCATTGTAGTTTAAAAGGGCATTTTCCCTAAATACCAGTGAGATTGTGCTTGTTTTCAGATGTTTATTGGCCATACATTTCTTCTGTGAATTACCAGTTCATATCTTTTTGCCTATTTTCTGTTGGGTTGGTTATCCTTTTCTTAATTAATTTCTAGGTTTATTTTTTTAAATGTCTTTGATTTTTATTTGTTGTTAATCTTTTAAGCAATATCTCATGCATTTTATAAAGAATTTTTTATTGTAGGGTATTAACTACTTGTGGTTCGAATATGCTGAGTGAATAAACTGTTGATGTAAATTAGTTTTAAAAACCTAGACAGATTTGGGGAAAGTTTCTAGGAAAGCAAAATCAGTAAAATCATTAAGGTTCTTAAAGGTTGGTTTTAAATTTTTTAGAGCAGCCAAGGCATATGTCTTCTTAATAGGCTGCTGGTAGTACCATTTGAAAATTTGAGCATGTGATTTCTGTAAGCTTCTATTATAATTGTACTAACCAGAATACTTCTAATATGCTGTCATATTTATTTTAGTTTTTAATACTTGCTTTCTTTTGTTTCCTCTGCTTGATTAGGTCCCCGATGGGCTTCCTGGAATATTGGTGTGTTTATTTGCATCAGATGTGCTGGAATTCATAGAAATCTTGGGGTTCATATATCCAGGGTCAAGTCAGTTAACCTAGACCAATGGACACCAGAACAGATACAGGTAAACATTTATTTTACCAAGAAATTAAAACTATTTAAAATAATTTAAAAATATTTAACCCTTCTTGCAGCTAAGGATTAACATTGAGGGCTAGTCAGTTAGCTTGGTTAGAGCATGGTGTTAGTAACACCAAGATCAAGGATCCCCATGCTGGCCAGAAAGAAAATAAATAAATAAATAAATAAATAAAAAGGATTAACACTGAAAAGTAGTGTATTGAAATGTCTTGTGCCACATATAAAATTTGAATGTTATTTGAATTGTCAATTCACAGATGTTTATTTCTTCTTGGGTCTATAGTAAAGTCAGTTTTTAAACTGTTTTTATCTAAAATGTTGGTTTTGAAGTATTTAAAAAATACTTTTCTTAAGTTGATAAAATTTGCTGGTATAATTTTATAACTTGTTTTATTTTCTTGACAGTAGAGGGAGCCTGGGTAAAGATAAAGAAAAATCCATCTCTAGCCTAAAAATGACTTGAAGGTTTTCCCTTCTGTACAGAGATGTTCTTGATTTTCAGACAGGACCTAATAACTAAGAAAACCCAGTGAGCAAATATTCTTTTGACCAATTTAAACTTGTTGAGAGTGGTTTAGCTTTGTTAGAGATAAATTTGTAATTTTAAGGGTTTGCCATTTTTCCAGTATGACAGTCTTAAATTCTCAAAATCTTTCTAATCCTAAAAGTTAGCTACTAAGGTAAAAATGATTACTTCTACTGCCCTTATTTTGTAATTCACAGTGGAATTACACTACTTTTTAAACGGCTTTTTGAAATTATTTTTAGTCAGTATGAAGTAATACATATATAAATATATGTGGTTGAACCTCAGTGATATACATGCATACCTCAGAATCAGAAAAAAACAAAAGCCTTATTTTGTAATTCACAGTGGAATTACACTACTTTTTAAACGGCTTTTTGAAATTATTTTTAGTCAGTATGAAGTACTACATATACAAATATATGTGGTTGAACCTCAGTGATATACATGCATACCTCAGAATCAGAAAAAAACAAAAAACACAAATTTGCTTGGATGGAGTAAGGTAAGGGTAGAAACAATCTTCGGGCTGTAAAGTCAAGCATAATAATATTTTTTTCACTCTTTAATTAGTTTGAACTTTTTGCTGGTTAGAGCAGAAAAGGAAATATGACCATTTTTGTATTTTTAAGATCTGTAATGACAAACATGCTAGTAATATTGATTTGATCAGTACATACTGTACACAGATACTGATAGTCATCTCTGTACCCCATGAATATATATATATATATATATACTAAAGAAAAAGATCTTTGAGGAGAAAACCATAATACATCAAAGAAGCAGAGCTTTAGAACACTTCATATAAGGCAGTGTTTTTAATGATAACTCTGTCGCCTGTGTGGTAACAGATTTCATGAGTGTTGTTTCTTAAGTTTTTTTAAAGAAAATGTGAGGTGCACCTTGAAAATATAACTTGGTGTTTGTAGTGTGTTATGGAGATACAAAACATTTAGGACTAAGTATATTACCTTTGAAATGGTTCATTTCAAACTAAGGACAAAACATGGAATCCCTGGACAATTCAGTTCTCCAGAACTGAATTTTTCTCAACTAGGCCATTGAGAGGAATTGAATAGCAGGTTATTTTGAGGTGGGCAGCTGTATAGCTTAGAGCAGAACTTCTCAAGCAGAGGGTTGCAGTTCACTGGTTTTCTGTGGAATAGATAACAGGTACATGGCAAGATAATGAATTATTAAAAATGTAAGGATTTTAAAAACAATTATTAAGTAATATACAATATTTGAAATTGTATTTCAATACAATTTGCTTGGTTTCATCTGTCAACTTCTTCAAATGAGAATTATTATTTTGAAATGCAAGACTTTGATTAGTACTTGTCACCAGGAAAGTTCTGTTTGGCTCCTTATTCCATAGATCTCCTCTTTTAGGTGTGAATGAGAAAATTAGGATGTACTCACTCAGAAATTAAATGAGTAGGCAATAAAGTTTTACTTAAAAAAAAAAAAAACAGAGAAGCCTAATCAGATGGACAGATGGGCCACCCAATATTCTTGTGGTGGGCCTTGTAAATACTTGCAAGTAAAGCCAGTGTTGTTGTTTAAAAATTGTTCTGAGGCTGTTATGCAATATAAGTAAGTGAGTAATTGGTGAAGACCCCTAAATTCCAAACTATAGAACATGATCTTTATTGCAGCCTAGAAAATTTCAAGGCAACTAATTCTAGAGAAGCAGTAGAACAAAGTGTTTAAGAAGGTTGTCTATAGAGTCAGACTGCCAGAGTTAGACCTATGTGATTTCAACAGGATACGTAACCTTAGAGTGCCTCAGTTTCTTCATCCGTAAAGTGAGAATAGTAATAGTGCCTACTTCTGTAGGTTGCTGGAAGGATCAAATAAATTAATGTAGGTGAGGCATTTATCATAGTACCTGGCATATTTTAAATTCTCAATAAATATTAGCTTGTTAGTAGTAATATTAGTCCATTTGCCTATTATGTATAATCCTCAGTTTGCTGCCTTAATATCTTTCTGATCTTAAGTTTAGCTTTCCAATTAATCTTTTGTGATGGATTGGTTGCTAAATGTACTACTGAATAAATAAACAAATCGATCCATTGTGTGGTATTATTGAGTATAATTGAATTTCTTTTTGAGAATATTTATTTCATCTTTAGTAGTATTGGATGTTAAGGCATTTTGAGGTGTTTGGTTAGATAATCACATCAGTTGTCTATTGAAGTTGCTCCTTATTCAGATTTAAACATATCCTATTTCCTGTGGTGGTAGGTATAATCGATATAATCCAACTCTATACCTTGGCATTTTATTTATTTATTACCTTTCTAAAAAATTGAGGTAGAATTACAGAGAGAACAATTCACAGATCTCAGTTTTATGAGTCTT